ATAGAAACTTTATCTAAAAAAAAAAAACATCCGGCTCTAAACTGAGCACGTTTTCTATAGTGTCTGTTTTCTGCATGTTGTTGCACTTTGCATTTTTACACCTGTTAAATTTTTGCAGACAAGCAAGCACGTAAACAGGAATGCTCACCCTAACACATTACTTTGTCCTAATGTGCCGACATCACAAAGTGATCCAAACATGTTTCAGTAGCACTGTCAGTTAAAAAAATTAAAATATGCACTAAAATGTGTCAGACCCACAGGCAAAGCGACGTGTATGTCAATAAATGAATATCCTAAATGTCTCATACACTACCAGAGACGATAGATGCATGTACGAGGGAAGTACATTTTTAAAAGCTAAGTAACGCTTCAAGCCGGTTCACAACACGTCTGTTTTCACTTCAGCTGAATTTATTCTGGTCTCCTCACGTTTACTTTAAAGTACCTTATTCATTTACATCCAGCGGATATAAAAAGGTCCACACACCCTTCATGTTCCTATTTCTGTTTGAGGAATTTGAAAAAGGTTAAAGCTCGTGCCTACCACTCTATTCGTTTATAGCCTGGCTTTGGATGAATGTCATGATAACATTTAGACACTGTGTGGTATTGGCCCTTGCTGCACAGCAAATCTTTTAATTCCCTATGAGCCAGCACCGATGTTCAGACCCTCGGAGAGGCTTTCAACATGCAGTTCAAAAGGTCAACAGGGTTTTAAACTATGCCTGGTTCAACAACAAATGCTTCAGCAACTTGGGACATAGATGACATTGTCGTACAGGTGCGTGCATTCTCCTTTCAAGTTAGTTTTTATACACTGCCACCAAATGCCACCATGAATCCTGGCTCTGTCATCTTATAATATCAGGGAAGAAAAAATCCACTGATGGAATAACCTGGTCATTCAGTATATCCAGGTGGTCAGCTCACCTCATTCTTTAATAATGTTGCTGAACCTAGACCTGACCAACTGCAGCCACCCCAGATCACAGCACTGCCCCCACAGGCCACAGTGGGAACTAGGCCTGATGGCTGCATTACTTCATCTGCCTGAATCCAGGTGGTGACTTTTTTTGTTTATTTTGGCCAGGCAGTGTATATAAACACGTTTCTGTGTGAGCACAAAGCTCAGGAACTAAATATTGGCTCGAGGCGGTGTCCTGGGTTATGAACATAGATAACTAGATAGATAACTTATTGATCAGTGAATATTGATTTCCTACTGAAAAACGTACTAAATAAAGCTCTTGACTTGTAACCCTAATATTGAATTACTTAGATGTTTTTGTTGTTTTATACGGAGATTTGTAAAATAAGCAATACTGTGAGTAAATGCAGCAGAAATGGTGGCCAGTAATTTTTAAACACGTCAGTTTGAGGTGTAGCCTCTGGGGAGCCTTCAGCTTCATCAACTCTTCTCTTGAAATATTACTTGTGAGGGAGAAACTGCAAAACTAAACCCGGGCTTCCGCATCAGCACTTTGCTGGGTTTCCGTCTCTGTGCTGGGTGTCAGTATATTCTGGAGAATCTTTTGGTAGAACGGGGAGAAGACCAGCTTGTTGAAGTTGACAAGGCAACTGAACTGGACAGCCAGCTCCTTCAGCTCCCTGCTGAGCGGAGCCAGGCCTCCTGGGAGATGAGGAAGGGCCTTATGTTGACTGGACTCCAGGGAAGCCAGGAGGTAGGTCTGAACCCGTGAGTCTGAGAGGAGAGGAGAGGAACTCTCTGTCAGTACATGAACCACACGTTGTAGGTTGTGCGACTCACCCTAAGGCTTTATCCATACTTCTACACAGGCATTGCTTCTATAAAATAATAGCTTGTCTCCTATATATGCATGTAAACAGTTGTATCATTGTAAAATGCATAATTTAACTGCACAACAGCTGTTAGCGAAGGCAACAGGGTCAGTAGCACTTGGAGCTGATTCTCCATGTTGAGTTCTACCCTGCTTGTTTTTTTTCCCAGAAGGGTGTCATGTGATCGGAGCCTCACGAATCAGCGAAAGTTACAGTATGTTGTGGTGAGTGGAGCCGGAGTTTTCAAACTAAAACTTCTCAGTTTTTAGCGACTCTAAAGCTCCTGAGTAGTTTGGACACCGGGCGTATCTGTAGCTGAGTTGATGCGTTCTCAAATGAAAACATGTTAGTATGGATGTAGCCTAAGTCATCGCAGGTGTCGGTGTTTTTACCCATCAGCTTGCGGACTGTGTTGTCTGGCTGGATGGTGGCTGAGATCTGTCCCTTCAGAATGCTCTTTCGGTCAGCGGAGAAAGGAGAGTAGCCATGTTGGCTTAGACACTGACTTAGCTCAACACACAGTTTCTCTCCGATGGTGGCTAAGGCCTCCTGTGCACTGAAAGACCTTGGGACAGACAGGAAGAAGTGATGTAAGTGTGGCAACACAACCATGAGCTGTAATACATTGCATTACACAAACCAGCTGCATTCAAAGTTTTAGTACTCAAGTATTTGTACTCACTCTTTGTGCATGTCTGTGAGCATGACGTTGACGGTGGTTTTAAGAGTGTCCATCAGCCCCGGCAGGCCTGAGATGGCCTCCCCTGTTGTGGTGTAGACGATGAGGAGCACAGAGGAGAGCAGAACTAACCGATCAGCCTTCTGCTGCATCTCCTGGAATCGAACCTGATCCATCAACACTGTCTATCGAGAGAGGGAGGAATACAGTTTATGGTGGCAGATAAAAAAAATAAAAGAACAAGAGCACCTTAAAAAAGATACACAATTAACCGAGACCCAGCAATAAGCTTCGGGATCGAGGGTGTGTACCTCTGGGAAGGGGTCGGAGGCGTGATCCCACTTCAGCAGGCGTAGATAGGCTTGATTATGGACACTAAGGGGGAGGAGAGAGGGAGGGTTGGAGGAGGCAGCACTGGGACTGTCCTGGTCAGCCTCTCTCAGGTGATTCACTGTGTCCTGCAGCCACTTCTCAGTGTAGTCTAAGGCATCTGAAGAACAACCATCATCATCACTCATCACATCACTGGTTGTTTTCCCGTTGCTCAGTGTGAAGCATTCTTTGATTTGTCAGTGTTAGAGACAGAGCAGGACTATTTAATTAAGCTCACCAGTAATAAGCAGAATGTTTTTTAAGACTGCTATGTTTCTGTTTATTGTGCATGCTGTATCAAACTTAATGTGAAGAGGCTCAAACCATCTATTGACCAATGGAAATACCTTCACATTGGTTGTTCTGTTTAAACAACATATTAAATATACAATTATTCTTTATGTGGTTGATGAGCTGCTAAGTGTCCTACTCTAGCCCTTACTAGCATGTAGCTAACAATGTCTTTCTGGAGTTTGTCACTAGAAAACCTTTTCTATTCAACACAGCTATTTATCAAATCGTTAGTAATAAGTTGTAATAATTCAGATATTCACTGTTACGAAGGTTCTTTCTTTACATTAGATCCAACCATATACACTCCAGCACATTATGTAATGAACGCAGCATAAATAATACAATAAATAATTTATATTGTCAAAGCCTCCTTACTTGGTTGTTTCTCCAGAAACTCCTGGAATTTGCTCCTCTCATACTCAACAGACTGTTGCATCAAATGAGGCCTGATGCTGCTCAGGGCGAAGTTTGCCATGTCGACCTTCATCAGGTCCAGAACTGAGAATATTGCCCTTAGAAGAGGGAGAATAGAGAAAATAAACCAACACTGTGAAAATATAAACATGACAATCATAACAATTGATGATTATTACTTTTAGTTTACTCTCATTAAGTCTGGATTAAGACTGGGGACCCGCTGGCTTCGTCTATCATCATCATCTAAGCTGACGTCACCCCAGAACTAACTTCTGCACGGAAATGGACTGGAATGAAGTTACACGCTCTAAAAATAAACTGCGGCCTGGAACACACAGAGCTGACATAACTGCCTCTCTTGTCTCTGGTCTTACTTGAACAGCGGCACAATATCGGTGATCTCCTTCAGCTTGTTGATGTCCAGGTCTCTGCAGGGGGCGCACAGTGAGCCCATTATCTCAATGATGAACTTGGACAGTTTATCGATGTTAAGAGCTCCATTCTCCGCCTGCTGCTGGATCAGGGGCAGGTCCAGGACCTCGTTGATGCTGGAGCGCAGGCGACCGTGGTTCGGGAGAAACAAAGACAGAAGAATCTGTGGGGAAGCAGAGAAAAGAGGGTCACTAAAGATGTGCAGGAAAGGAAAGAGTGGATGACTAAATATAGGGAGGGATGAATAATAAATCCTGCTCTAGTGACACATTTCTACAGGATCATATTTGAAGTGTGAGGAATTGGGACCAGTTTACTTTCTGAATCGAATGAAACCCCTTCCTCACCTCTTTGATTTCAGCGAGTAGTTTGATGGCGTGTTGGTACGATGGTGGATCCTCCTTCAACTGCTTGTCTAAGGTATCCCAGAATGCTTTGTGCATAACCTCCTTAAATCTACGCTCCCAACTGTGCAGATGGCAAATGAAGCACTGTTACTTTTACAGGAGCAAATAACTCATGCGAGGACGAGGGCTCAAGGGACAGTTACAATATAAAAATCCTATACTCACCTTCCTTCAGGATGCACTACAGGTTTGACTTGAAACGCCTGGTCGACCATTATTTCATGAGCCAAAGTCATGTTGGAGACACCTTTGGCCGTCTCCATCAGCTCCTCCACTGAGACGAACTGAGGCGTGCTCGCTGCGAGGGAGGAAAAAGCCATCTTATTAAAACAAATTGTATTCTGACAAAACTATACACAAAAGTGTCTTATACAAAAAGCCATACAAATAAAGTTATGAGAGTACAGACCAAGAATAAACCATATATAGAGTGTACACAAGGATGGACTATACATCTCGAACAATGCCATCTTGTACACGGTATGTCATTCAGAGCCGTGGTATCCAGGTCCCGTCTATACACGTTCTCGACCAATCGTCAGTCAATCTTGACGTTTTACTCCTTTTCTTTATGTCGGCAAAAAACTAAAGAAAATTGTGATAAAAAATACTGAAAATTATGTTTTGGTCCACGTTTCATTTGCAGACATAGAGGAGGCAAGGTTTATGACCTGTACTGCAGTCAGCCACCAGGGGGCAATATTTTGGAGCCTTCACTTCTTCCATCTCTGTTTACATTCTATGGTTAAGAAAGGTTCGAGTGGATTTAGTGGGAATGTTGTGCAGGTCAGAAGATCCACTGAGCAGGAAGTCTTAGTTTCCCACACACATTTGTAACGTCACATACATTTTCAAAATCAAAGGTAGCTCCTGCACTATAAATCTCATGTCAAACATTTTGTGACAACTTTGAGAATTAAAAGAAAGTCTTCTGGCTTTGTGGGAAACGTTTTTATACTAATTTGTTCTAATCTAGAGGTAAATGTGACAACACAGGAAATCTGATGATATCTAGACACTTGATATCTGAGGGCGTGGTCACTAACTGCCTGTTTGTTTGCCTAACATCCGAAGCCCCCCGTCTCAGTTCCATTAAATATGGTGAGTACAACCATGTGACTGCACTGAAAACCATGGCCACAGCTAGAAACCCCATGTTCACACTGTTACTGTAAAATATAACTGACTGATAATCAGTTGTACACCACAGAGTTGTGAGGTTTCATCCTCTGTTGTCAACATTATCACCACTTTGTCTTCATTTGCTCTTATTGGCCTTCAGGTCTAAAGGAGCTGTGGTGTTGAAGGGTTAAGAGAGGCAAGCACCGCAGACAGGAAGACTTTATTTGCCGAACCCTGAAGGTACGTGCTTGTGAGTATTTTCACTTACTAGAACATTCATGTTTCTTCTCCACCGAACAAAAGGAGGGTTGTTTATGTTCTCGACTAAGTCCATGTTTGTGTTAATAAAAAAAAACGGTTGATGGGAAAGTGTGTAGAACTGAACCGCTTGTGATAAGAAGCAGATTGGATCATGGCTGAAGACAAAAACTTGACAAATTAGAAAAACACCCAGGATGCTGGTCATCTTGAGAATTCCTCAATATTCCCATGTGGTTTTATGCCAAAGTTTGGGCAAATTAAATATTACTTTGAAAGTGAAAATCGAACTTAGTGAATTTAACAGAGCTGTGGAAATCCTGATGAGCGTTAGGCGGTTAGGGTTCATTACCCAGAAAAGAATCCAAGTATCTTGAAGAAGGAAATCAGGGATGATTAGGGGACTGATATTTCTGAGTTGTCGTTATGTGCACATGGTGTCACTTAAAGCCTGTTGCTTACCTTGTGGAGTGTGACCGCTGGGGGAATTTTCCCGCACTCTCTTCCTCACCGTCTCCTCGGCCCCTTCCTCCTTCGACCCCTCGTCTCCTCCTCCCTCGTGGTGATCGTCCTCCTTTGGCATGGTTTTTTTTGAGTCTGTGGGGGTAAAGTAACTGGTCGATACTGTGTTATGCAATATTATGGTATGTAACAGCTACATATGTATGAGGAGATTCTCAGTCATCCAGGTCATGGTAGCTGCAAGTGCTAAAAACTTAGAGCAACACATGTAGTCACCATTACTCCCTGTGATTATATTTATTTGACTTTATATTTTTTATATTTGTAGTCTTGGATTTTAAGTTTTACTCTTCTGTCTCTCTCTCTCTCTGTCTATCGGTCTGTCTGTCTGTCTATCTATCTATCTATCTGTCTGTTTCTCTGTCTGTCTATCTATCTGTCTATCGGTCTGTCTGTCTATCTATCTATCTCTCTCTCTCTCTGTCTCCCTCTCTCTATCTATCTATCTCTCTCTCTCTGTCTCTCTCTCTCTCTCTATCTGTCTATCGGTCTGTCGCTCTCTCTCTCTCTATCTGTCTGTTTCTCTGTCTATCTGTCTCTCTCTCTCTCT